AGGTTTCTCACTGCGCGGGAATTCAAATCCTCGTCCATTTTCTCAAATTTTTTTTGAAAAATGTTCGCTTCAATTGGCATTTTTCAGGGACTTCGGATTTTTTCCGATTTTTTTCGCGATAGTATTGGGAAAATAGATCACTTTTCGAACATTTTAATGCAATAAAAATTTTTGGTCGGAGTCCCCCTTTAAGAAATGGGGGTTGTCGTTGGCTACTGCCTTCGGCTACCTTCGGCTACTGCCACCCACATTTCTCTTCCACATCTCCGTTTTTTGCATCAGTTTATTTTTCGATGAAATTTTGAGAACTTTCGAGAAATAAAGATTATTTAATTTATGAGAACAGCAAATTTATTTATTTCCAATAAAAAAATTTTATAAAAGGAAAATAGAGATTTGAAACCCATGGAGAAATTTTAAGATCTTGGATATCTTGTTTGAAATGAGGGATTTGATCCGTGAACTTCTTCAAACAGTCACCATCGCTTTTCCAATTTTGTTCGGCTTCATAAGACATGTGCTATCAGCGCAGTGCTGAAATCAAAATCTACTTTTACAAATCATCATCCTTTTTTCAAAACATACCTGAGCCCGTTCCGACAGCTCGGCAATTCTGGTCGCATTGAACTTTTTGTCTCCATTCGTGTCCCTAATTTCATTTCTTAACATAGTCTTAAGACTTTCACATTGTATTTTCTGAAATTTGTCGTAAAACGTATTGCATTTTCCGTCGATTCCCTTTGGTGGAGTTGTATACAGATCCATCAGGCTGTCGTAGTAATTGTCCAAATCACGAAAACATCCTGATTGAAGAAAACAGCTTTTACCATCAATGAAAGTCTGTTTTTTTAATGATGAATCAATCTGTAAATCTGTTTTGTGTTTACAACTTTTCACATTCAAGTACCGTGAAGAAGTCGAGATTGGGACAATATGGTGATTTTGCTTTTAGAAGTCCACAGGCAATATCAGATTCAATCGAATAATCTTGAGTACCGATGGCTTCACATGCGCTTCGATACGCAACTGATGCACCCCAGCAGTGGGACAAACAATGCTGTAAACCCGATTTTTCGAATGGGCCAAATAGAAACTCCAAATCGCTTACCTTTGATTCTTTACACAGTTCACGAGTGAGATTATACATTCCACCTAGCGGTGGATAAGTGGTGTTTGAAAAATGGGTCAGTATGGTTTTCAATTGCAGCATTTTCGGTTTGCATTCTGCAGACACGTTAGGGCAGAATGGGAATTCGATAGGTGTAGTCCAAGAAAATAGGGCGAAAATTAAAATTAGTAACTTCATGACTGAAGAGCTGAGTACTGTAGGTGGTGCACACAGAAATATAACATGAATGGGACTGGTGTTGGCTTTTATAGTCATTCGGTGGGAGCGGGATCAACTTCCTGGTCTGATTTATCTTATCTTGCCATTCAGAATTGGCATCTGCTGTGCAGAACATTATTAAATCTGTCAGAATGATGGATGGTTTACTGCTAATTGTCGTAAAGTTCTGTGCCAAACTGATTTACGGCCTTGGAATTTACAAGGTTAGAAAATGCCATTCTTATTTGATAACATTCTAAAAAACATAGATAAACGAATAGGAAAATTAACAGAAAATTTGAAAAAAAACAGAATTCCAAAAAAAGTTCAAAAAATGTTTTTAAAAATTGAAAAAAAAAACTAACATAATACTTCAGAAAGGCTGAAAACTGAGGAAAATTTCTAAAAATTGGTTAACAAAAATCTTTAAAAAACTCTGAAAACGATTCCGAATTTTCGGAAAATTTTGATTTTAAAAAACTTTTGGGATCCAAAATTTTAATATTTTCTGTGTCTCGAAATTTTGAATATTTTTCTGAAATTTCTGTTTTTTTGAACTGTGAAATAGATATTAGGTTGGCAACTAAGTCTTTGTGCACTTTTGTTTTCCTCTTTTCTTTTGACTGAGCTAGAACATATCTGTAACCGGATATGGTATATAAGATGATAAGGTTGTTCACAATAATAATCATTTGCCTTGCTCTCATTCCGCTTGCGAACACGCTGTCCCTTTGGACACCCACTGTTTTTGATGCAATTCCTGTTTGATGACGTCTACTGGCTGTTTCTCGAAGTCAAGACATTGGGTTTTTCTGTGATGGCTAGTATGTATGACCCTCTTCTTTTCTAAAATGACAAAATGATTCAGCCGCTTAAAGTTCCCGAGTAGAGTGAGAAGTTGCATGCTCATGTCCACTCGCCGCTGAACATCAAAACTGGTCAAAACGGAGAGCTATCCGCCGTCCAAGTTTTTCTGTCTTTCCCAACTTTAACAATCCATTTTCAATAGTGGTATGGGTTATCCATAAAGTTATTGACATTTCACGGGTAGATTGGAAAGAGTGCCGTTCTAGATCTCTCAGCTTGTGCGAATCTTGAAGAACTGGTTGCCCGGGACAAGTTTTATTTTTCAATGAAAAGCCCTGGTTCTTGAACTTGGTATGAAAAGGGGAATCCCGTTCGCAAGCGGAATGAGAGCACAGCGAATGATGGTTATTGTGAACAACCTTACCATCTTATATACCATATCCGGTTACACACATGTTACTGTTCTAGCTCAGTTAAGAGAAACGAGGAAAACAAAAGTGCACAAAGACTTAGTTGCCAACCTAATATTATGGAGGGAAACTATCGAAAACTGAAAAATTATCATGAAAATCTGAAATTTGAGAAAAAAAGACTCGAAAAATCTTGAAGAATAAAGTTTGACAATCTAAAAATCTCTAAAACTTTCGAAAAAAAACCATTTTCGAAATTCTTGGAATTTCTGAAATTATGAAGAAAAGCTAAAAATATATCTTTTAACATTTTTCCGAAGCCTGAAATGTTATAAGTTTGAGAAGTACCTCAATCAGTTTCCAATAGTTTGCAGAAAACAAAAAAATCTATGTAGTTGATCTGGTTTTGTCGCTCTTTTTTTTTGTGAAAAACATTTTTGAATCTAACAGTTTTCTCGTTCAAGTTTCACAAAAATGTTTCCAAAACTATTCTTTTGCCTATTTATTTCCACAACATTAGGATATTCTGTCGAACCAAGTTCTGAGAGAAAATGTAAAATATCAGAAGAATATTCTGCACTTCAAGCTTGTACTAATATTAGCAGCCAACTGGATGAGCTATTTATGGAGCATAACAATATGAAAATTCCAAAAGATGTTCTGAAAAATATGACAGAACTTTGCACAAATGTTACGGTATGATTTTCCGGTAGAGTGACGCTATTGTGATGATACAAGCGAATGGAAAGGTATCAGGCTACAAAAAATGAATAAAATTTGGAATTTTTGAATTTCACAAAGACTTCCATCAGAAAAATGCATATGTGAAAACCATAGATGCGTTTTTGTAGTCTGAAACCTTTCCGAATTTCTCGGATTTTTTTCCTTGTTAGTTTTGTATTACTGTACTTTTCAGACTTGCTTTAATTCCACACAATGTTCTACAAGTCAGGATTTTAAGGAATTTTACGAAGCGAAATGTCAAAGCCTCGAGTTCCAAAAAACAGATCTATATAATTGCACTTTCAAATTTTATGAGACAATCTACTATGGATTTGATAACTGTTCAGATCAATATCACTTTTTATCGGTAATCTTTAACGGCATTTGCTTTTTTATGCATTTGATACTTTTATTTTTTTCAGAACGACCTAGATCAGAGGAAACAATCTTTCAATTCAGGGAAGCTATGTTTCTTGGAGATTGTCGAGAAAAAGTGCTCAAGTGAAGCAAAAGATTACATCGCTTCTAATTACAACAAATTAGTCAAAACATTGACTGAAAAACCAGAAGGGGAAACTTGTGCAGAACCATTCTACGAATTTCATTATCAGCAGTGTCAAGCAGCAATCAGTAAAACGATAACACAAATTGTAGAAGTTTTTGGAAAAGATAAGCCATCAATTTTTGACGAACGTTGGTCGTCTGTTTGTGGATATTGTCAAAAGGCGCAGGTAAAATAATAATGCAAATTACCGTAAACACCCTTATAGAACGCCACCCGGACTGTCCACTTTGAGCCTATATTAGGTCCCTGTGAAAAATATCAAAAAGTCGTCAACTAATAAAATGTTTATCATCATATCAGCAAAATTTTTTTAGTTAACCACTTTTTGATATCTTTCACAGAACATGAGATACACGGGCTCAAATTTGACTATTCGGGTGGCATTCTATTAGAGTTTTTACGATATATACTTTTTTGAACAACTTTTTCCAGGAATGCGTTCAAAATTGCTGCAAATTCAATGATTATGATCGAGAAAGTGTTAATAACTTGTGTAGTCCCCCTTTCAAAATTAAAACGGACAATCTGAAAGAATGTTTGACAAAATGGGAAGACGATAAGTCTGCTGGACCAACTGAATTTACTCAATTATTAAACTCGACTATTTGGAACAACTCATGTGCTCTTTATGATTCATTGAATAGTACCAAAAACAATTGGAAAGAAGAATTAAACAAACATTGTGAAAAAACAATTATTAAAGACCAAGATGAGCATAAGATGGATATGTCATTGCTGGGATGTAATTCCACTGAATGCTGAAAAAGAAAATGAATTAGAAAATCGAGAATTATGATTTTCATTTTGCAAAAATGAATACTTCACTTGTTTTTTATGTTTATTACTGTATTTTTCGAACAGAACAGAAAAAAGTTTTATTGAAAATCACGAAATGGAAAAATGATGTAAATTCATAAAGCAAAGCTGAGAACCCGGATACGATTGATGTCTCCTGTAGGCAAGTTTGGAATATCTAAAAATTTTCAATTTGAAAAATCAAAGAAAAATGTAGTACCATCGAATAGTTACATCAGATTCCGAAAAATCCTCGAAAAATGAAAACTCACATATCGTAAACCAAGTTTTTAAATCCTTAACCAGGCAGTTCAAGAAAATCATCATTCCCCGGACATTTCCTATCACTCGAAGGCGGAGTTTCGATTGCTTGAGACTTCTTGTTCTGGAACAATCCTCTTTTCCTTATCGTCTCTGTATTCGATTGCATTGTTAGTTTGGATTCTGCTCTTGGCGTCCTATCCGATTCGAATCCTTCACCCCAGTCATCAATATCCAACTCGTCTTCTTCCAATTCTCGAATTGAGCAAACACTTTCATTGGAGAAATGCTCAAAGTGAGAAGATCCTTCGTATTCTGGGAATGGATTTCTTGATATCGTATTGGATCTGATTTCAGAAGACCTGACTCCAGCACCATCAGGACGGAGGGGTCGTAAAGGTGAGGTGCTAGAAAGTTGAGTTTTTGTTTCTTCTTTTTCTTGATTCTTGGGTTCAGGTGGATCTTCTTCTTTCGGTTCCACTATTTCAATATCCACTTTGCTATTGACTTGTTCCGGAAGATTCTCTTCAACTGATCCCGCCATCGCAGTTACAGAAGACTCATCTGGTTTCAAATTTTTGGAATCCACTTCCAAAGGTTTCTGTTTAGGAGAACCTGGTTCTGCATCCTTTGGTCTTCCTTCTGGTCCAGGTGTTGGTGATCGTTGTATCCCAGGAGAGTTGGAGGATTTCTAAAGATGCAAGACTTCAGAAAACCGGTACAGTGTACCTGAATTTTGCTCTAATAAAAGGACACCCACACTGTCAAAATTAAGCTCATTTATCTCGGCTCCTATGCAAGATATCAAAAATGTGTAACCTGATAAAATGTTTGTGATAATATGATAAACAGTTTGCTAGTTGACAACTTATTGATATCTTTCACATGAACCGAGATAAATTGACTCAAAATTTAATGTGAGAGGCCCTTTTATTACAGGTTTTACGATTACGGTTTATAGTTAATTTTTACCTTCTCACTTTTTGCTTCTTCTTCTTTGGTGACCGGATTCACTTTATTCTTCCCCCGTTTACAACAAACTCCATTGCTGAATACACCAATTATCGATTCTGCAAAACTTGGAGCTCCTTGATTTCTAGCTTGAGGTTGACTAGACATTTAGTATACTGGAATCAAAGATTTATAGGTTCCTCAAATGATTATTGCTCACCTTCTATCATTTTCTTAGCAAGAAGGTCCTGTAGAAGATTAGTTCAGCATCTGGAATGTTCTCAAGTTTCGAAACAACCGAACAACTACGTCAATATGAAAAACAAAAAACAATAGCATCTGACTACCTCCCAAGTGTATGTGTCTATATAAAGAAGGGAAAAAGAGAACAAAATATGAATGAGCTCTATATAAGGAGACAAATGATGTAGATAATTTGAGCAGTTGAGATAGACACTCGAAGAAGCGCAGACAAAACGAGACACTCCGATGAACGAAAAAGGGCTTCTTCTGAATTTTTAGAAAAGAACATGAGGCTGAATGCAAAGACCTACTATAGCGAAAAATAGGGGTTTGGTGACGTGGAATTTTGATTGGCGGTGAAGACGGAAGAAGAAAAAAATTGGTTCTTTTTACTTTGACCCGATTTTCCTCGGTTCTTGTCAAAGATATGAAAAAGATATCAACTGATAAAATGTTTATCATAATATCAGAAGTATTTTGTCAATTAAAACTTTTTGATATCTTTCATAAGAACTGAGACAATTGAACTCAAACATGACAGTGTGGTGGGGGCCCTTCTATTGAATGTTTTACGGTAAACAATTTTTGTACAAAAAATCAAAAAGAGACGCAGACATATTTCATAGTTTGATGGCCTTACCAAAACAGGAGAAGTAAATACGATTTTTATTTTATAGGCCTGAGTCAACATGCCAATCAAAATATGAAAGTTTAGTATAAAAGGATTGGATTCTCAACTGAAATGTACCATAACTTGAACATGTTCAACCTATCCTACATCTTTTTATGCGCTCTTGCATTCTCTGCTTTCGCTGCTCCAATCAAGTATCCAACTGGTAAGCTTCTCCAAAACTGGACCAAAATAAACTTCATTTATTGGTTTTTCATAAATTTAAAAAGCTTCATTACAGAAGAAGAATCGAGAGCCGAGTTGACAGCAGCTGGAATGACTCAAGCAAGTATTGATGGATTGGATGCATTGACTAAAAGATTCACTTCTGGATTCCCGTTGGTTCAATCCAACAAAGAAGCAACAGATAAATTCATTGCTGAATACACAACTGATGCTCAGAACTTCATCAAATCCATGCCTGACAATGATCAGACCATCTACAATAACTATTTGAAGAAATATGGACTCGCTTAAATTTCTAAATTGTTTTAAATAAATCAGATTCGTGATCATCGGTTATTTTTACTACATTAATATTTTTCAAAGGCTGTAATTTTGTTCGTAATTTACAGCTTGCTTAGGTAACGTATCACTAGTAACTTTGATTTAACAATTCCAAGTTTCAAAAAAGTTTTTGTATTGAACAAAATTATACATACTTGCGACCGGGCCCTTGTCGGGCCTTCGCGGGATCTACCATAGCTTCTCTTAGAATCAATAATTTTAGACCAACTAAATTAGAGATGATAGAACTCGACGAACGCTACAAAATGACGTTATTTGAAAATATGTGTCTTGGCTATGAACGAAGTTAAAGACAAAAACAGAGACCCGGCCTGGCCCGGGGCGACGCTACAAGGCCCGGCCACTTTATGGCTTCTAACTTTGTTCATAGACAAGACACAGTTCTTTAAAGGTGGGGGGACAGGAGATTTTTCGTAGTTTTTTTGTAGCTAGAGTATGCATTCTACCGTCACGATGTACAACGCTTAATGTCACTCTGCGTACAGCTGTCGTCCTCGCCTTTATGTATGCAATCGGGCGTGCGGTTTCTCTTTGCCCGCGTGGCTCAGTCGGTAGCGGCGCCGCACCCTCAATCATCGCCCTCACAAGTTCAACTCCTCGAGGGGCATCTTTGAACGAAATTTCGAGAACATTATTTTTTCATGTCCCCCCACCTTTAAATAGTATTATTTTGTAGTACTCGCCGAGTTCTATCAGATCTGAGTTAGTTGATCTGAAAACATTGCTTCTTAAAGAAACTATGGCAAAAAAATTCACTCCAAAAGTGAGAAATTAGCACTGAAATCACTTTCAGAGCCCATAACTTTTTTGTGAGGGGCAAGGGGCAAAAAATAAAAGCAGCACTGTGATCAGCGATTACCAAAGTTTGAACAAATTCTCAACCACTGTCTGAAAACACTTCCCTTGTAAGCCTTTTTTCCGGTATTTTGTACACCCGAATTGAAGATTGTGTACCCCTAAATTGCTTTGTACCCCCGAATTGTTGTACCCTCCGAATTATTTGCCTCCGTTTTCCGGCAATTTTTTCAGATAAAATTTCGTTTTTCGACTTTTTTAGAGGTTTTAAACAGAAACTAATTTTCTTCCGACGAATAATAATTTCTAATTTTCTTTCCAGATTTCGAGTTTCAGCAGGCCAATGCCGATTTTCTTCATAACACACACACACAAATACCTGAAAATCTAATAAAAAACAAAGAGATCAACAAAACAGGATAAAAAACGGAAGCACAAAAAATCTCTTAATCATCAACATTATTATTTCCATCGCGTTTCGTCTCTCGAATACCCATCGATTGGTTTCGCCACGTGGCAGTAGTTGTCAGAAATGTGTCCTTGGCCTCTAGATAATTGTATTCGTTGCTGAAAGTATCAAGCTTTCGTCGTTTGGCTGCCGGCGATTTCATCTTCTCGATTTCGGCATAACGTCTTTTGATCGCCCACAATTCTTGAGGAGCAACTGGTTTATAGGTGGAATTGGGAAGTGGTGGAGCGGCTTCGTCGATCTCAAATTTTTTTTTCAAAATAAAGCAAAAAATCTTGCTCACTTCATCAACTAACTCCAGCGATCTCGTCAACCTTTTGTATTTCGATCGATCGAGTTTAATCAACGACAACAAGATTTCAGTCTTTTCTGGAACTATCAGACGCTTTAGTTGCCACAGTACTCCCTTTATTCAACTCACTCTCTTCACTAGCAACCATGATACAATAGCCACGTGTCTTCTTCTCTTCCCCTCGCCATTTGAGAAGTGCGACTCGCGGTTTCTTGTGATCGCTGAGCATATGATCACCAATCACCGCCAGTAGTCGTTCTCCATTTTCCGACTCTGTTGTCATTGGGACTTGGCGTTCTGGTGTGATCTTCTGTTCACTGAATCCAACTCGACATAGTTCAATTTCTGGAAGAAATCCGAGGAATCGTAGGGATTTGATCGCCCAATCAGGCCTATCAACAGGGTGCGTTTGGAATAGCTGAAAATTAGATTATTCTGGTTTTTTAATTGGCGTTGCGGCCGGAAATTCGAGGGTGGGCGGAGCTTATGTCAGGTATTTAGCGAAATCTTTAGAGGAGCATGTATTTTTCGACATTTGCTGGCATATTTTTTCAATCCTTCGAAGAATTTCAACGATTTTGAACTTTTTTCTTGAACAAAAATCCGAAAAATTGCTAAAAATCGCATTAAACAAAGTAATTTTTTTTCGATTTTCAGATTTTCGTGAAAAAAGATGAAAATCGATGAAATTTATCAAAAAATTAGAAAGAAAAAATCAATTTTTAAAAACTTTTTATGTAATTTTTGCGATTTTTGGATTTTTGTGAAAAAAGGAGTTCAAAATTGATAAAATTTTTAGAAACATTGAAAAAAAAATTCATCAAATTTCATCAATTTTTCAAAACATTTTTTCCGAAAAAAAAAATTTGTAAAATCGCAAAAAATCACAATTTGAAAATACTTTTTTTCCGATTTTCCGATAAAGGTTCATCAATTTTGAACACTTTTATAACGAAAATTCGAAAAATCGCAAAAATGCTCGAAATCGATGAAATTCGTTGAACAATCGCAGGAAAAGATCGGAACATGATAACGAAGAACACATGCGCCTTTAAAGATTCCGCTACCGGACCTAAGCACCGTCGATCCTAGAATTTCCGGTCGGAATGCTTCGAAATCACCTTAATTTCAAATTTATCCTTCGCAAACTTGAATATTGCCGAATTTTCCCTCATTTCGTATGGCTTCTCGGAGAGAATTTGAAATTTCAGCTCATTCAAATCGGATCGACACACTAAGAATCGAACGTCAACGCCGTTATAAACGAGTCGAGAAGTCACATGTTTCGCTGCTTCGAATTCCCGGTGGAGCGTTGATAATTGCCCGATAACGTACAAAGTGACAATGTCTCGAGGGTATTTTCGTTCGCACAGATCGAAATCCTGAAGAAAATATCGATTTTTGAATTTTTAAGTAGCAGTTACTATGTTAATGAACATCTCCGCATCTACAAACCAATGCACTTGCTTCTTTTCGGATTTTGTCTCACTATTTATCATTTTCACAATTTCCCGAATCGCATACTCTGCATTCGCTTCTTCGTTCGCCTTTGTTGTCTTTGAAATCGCCTCAACGACGTTGAGAATCGGTTGAAGTTTGTCATCTGAATTGCCACGTGCCATGCTTACACCGAGATCAGTGCTCTTTCCGATTGCCACGTCGACACCGCAACCGGACATTTGATTCAGCATTAAACGAATGAGATCGCCGCAGATTTTCCATCGAGATGCTGAAAAAACAAAGTTATTCTTCGCAAAAAAAAAACTAAGAAGAAATACCAAAAATTTCAGTGCGCTTCTGTTTGTCTGCGAGCACAGTTCCGTCGTCCATAATTCCCATTTCGATCGGAGGAGGCCATAGAGAGCTCATAGTGTTACTCATGCTCACTATGAACATCACATTTTGTTTCAGCATGTTTTTTTGCTGAAATTTGAATGAAAATTGAGTGTGAAAACTGCGAAAATAAAACAATTTTTAGCTTCGAAGCAACAGCAAAAACGGTATCGTGTCGACACCCCGCCTCGTTTGCGCATGCTCCTTTAAAAATGCACCGTAACTTTTAAAGAATTTTTGCCGATTTTTATTAGAACTGTAATGGGGTTATTCATGTAGCGAAAATATGTATTGAAATGCATTTCCGCGCCCTCGAAATTCAATGCATGAGCGTTGCGAAACGTATTTCAAAGCTTTTCGCGACATAACTGTAAATGCATTTCAATACATCGCGTGGCGAGATATTTTTTTCTGGAAAAAGGGATGCGCCTTTGAACTTTGTGCAGGATGGGAAAAATCTTTAAAGGTGGGGGGACATGAAAAAAACAATGTTCTCGAAATTCCGTTCAAAGATGCCTCTCGAGGAGTTGAACTTGTGAGGGCGATTATTGAGGGTGCGGCGCCGCTACCGACTAAGCCACGCGGGCAAAGAGAAAGCGCACGCCCGATTGCATACATAAAGGCGAGGACGACAGCTGTACGCAGAGTGACATTAAGCGTTGTACACCGTGACGGTAGAATGCATACTCTGGCTACAAAAAAAAACTACGAAAAATCTCCTGTCCCCCCACCTTTAAAGGCGCATACCTTTTTCCAGAAAAAATCTCGCCACGCGATGTATTGAAATGCATTTACAGTTATGTCGCGAAATGTTTTGAAATACATTTCGCGACGCTCATGCATTGAATTTCGAGGGCGCGGAAATGCATTTCAATACATATTTTCGCTACATGAATAACTCCATAATTACTTTTGTCCGACGCCGATGAGCCTTGTAGCCGAAAATTCGTTTAAAGGCGCATAGCCGGTCCTGAAGCAGAAAAGCTAGGGTTTTCACATAAATTCGTGCGCCTAATACAGTACTTTTGGAATTATTTTATTTTGACCCATTTTAGGCAGTTTTTCTACTTTAGTGTTCCAGGATCTTGAAGTCATGGAATACGTTTATATGCTTGAACCTTCCAAAATCAAAAAAATTCGGTGAAAAACACTCGAAATAAGGTCGTCGACCTAAGCCCCGCCCACTTTGCACGCAAAGTATAGTGGACGGCGGAACCCGGGAGATGTCGGCCGCAACGGAAACCCTATCTATATAATCGTCCTCGTTTAGGTGGTCTTTCGGTCACTCAAATCGCTCAATATCTTCAGAGTCAGCTGAGATCCTAACCTTGTAAGGATGGTCGGCGGGTAGGGGAGCTCCTAGGGTAGTATGCATACTCCCTAGGGACTCAGAAGAGATTGTGTGATGGAAACCCCCGAGATACCTAGAGGATATCCAGGGAATTTTCTGAGCTCTGAACGTCCTGTGTTGCAAAAAAAATTAGATCCGAAGTATAGTTTTGATAAAATGCTTAATTTTCGTCAGCTTTTTGTCAGGTTTTCGTCAGCTTTTTGTCAGCTTTTGTCAGCGTTACGCACGTTTTTCGTGAGGTTCGTGAGGTTCGTCAAGTTCGTGAGGTTTGCCAAATTCTTAAGTTTCGTCAGGCAG